TATCAGTAGTTAGAAAGGCCCAAACCCCTGTGTTCCAGAATTCTGGGCAATATACATGCTACATCCTAGAGTTCCACACTGTGGCAACCTTGTTTGAAAGCCTCATACCTTTCCTGAGGTACATAGAAACACACAAACTTCAGTTTGGAATAAATAACTCAGATGCATGCTGCACATTTTCAAGCATTACGTAATTATTATTCCTAAATCCAATACGGAGCACCAGTTAGAATTAGATTAGTTACAGTGCGTTGTCTCATTATACAAAATCACCTCAAAACTATCTTAATTATGAACTAACTCCAAATTTCTATCAACCAATAGCAAACTTGTACTCTTGGTTGTTCTGTATCATACCCCCATAATTGCCCTCATGTCAGGAGGCAGTAAAGAACATGGTACGATGGAGACCATGTAAATATTTATCAGAGCTGAAGATTTGCCTTCCTCAAAGCTTGGTGAAGCTCCTTAAGTCACTTTGGGTATGAGGGAGCTATTGAGAATTCATCTAATCCTTTGGTGCTCATCAGTTAAGTAGAATTTTTAAACAAGACTATAAATAAATGATCAAAATAATGTTGAGATGAAAAAGCCCAAGACTTCTCCAAAGGAGGGAGCCAAATGATGCTCACATTCTGCATTCTTTTCCAGTAATGCCCTTGAGAGAATAGTTCCTTAGTGTTTCTAAAGCAGGCTTTCATTACATATACTATCTCATTTGATTTCTGCAACAAAACTGAGAAATTTTATATTAACAGCCCTATTTATAGATGCAGCGTTCTGGTGGGGCACAGTAAGCTAAGTACTGGACTGCTAGCCACACAATTGGCAGTTCAAACCCATCAGCCACTCCTTGGAAACCCTATATAGGGCCACTGTGAGTCAGAACCGACTCCATTGCAATTCACAACCACAATACAGCATTTATAGATGAAGAAACCGAAGCACTAAGAGGCTGTTTATTTAGCTCTAATAGTAAGCACTAAGTGGTGGTGCTGAAAGTCAAAACGCAGATCCTTTAAATGATGAATCTCATACGTTACTGACTCTTCCTATAATTTGTAACTCAAGCATTGTGAGTTTCTGCCTAGTACATTTCAACTAGTCCATACTATCCATCAAATTAATACAAGCAACAACATTTATATGCATTCCTTATGTACTAAGCCTGATTCTGGAGTTCTGGTGTGATGCTGTAGGATAAGCACTGAACTGCTAACCTCAAGGTTAGCGATTCAAACCCACTGAATGCTCCTCATAAACCCTATGCAGGACTGCTATAAGTCAGAACCAACTCAGTGGAACTTAACAAACCTGATATAACAACAAACCTGATTCTAAGTGTTGTATGAATATAAATCAATCTTTCAAACATATGAAGATACTGAACCATTAATTTATTATGTGACCTTGAAGAACTCGCTCAGTCTTTTGAACTTCAGTTCTCTGTAAAATGAGTGAATTGGACTAGGACAAAAATGACAAACGGATTTCAACTGATACTCCAACTCTCACCAGTTGGTCATAGATGCATGAAGAGTTGTCCCAAAAAGTATTTAGAAGCCATGATGAGGCTCATCAGTAATGATACCAGTCACATCTGTGATGCTTATCAAGGACAGAGAATGAGGACGTGTACAAGATGTGCTACACATTTACCATCTATGAACCACATCTTCCTAAAGTCTTTCTTAGCATTCACACTCTGTCTCCCAAAACTGAATTTATTTTTAAGAATCATATTATAAGCACCATGTACTAAATTTAAATTATTAAATATAATGCCAGTGACCTTCACTTACCTCTACTCTTCTCTAGCTTACAAGAGATGCTAAAGAACAACCTTCTTTTACCTATCATTAAGACATTGTTGTTGTTGTCAAGTGCCATCGAGTTGGTTTTGACCCACAGTGACCCTGTATAGGGTTTCCAAGGAGCGACTTGTGAACTTGAACTGCCAACGTTGCTATTCAAACCCAGCTTTGCTGTCCAGCGCATTAGCCCACAGCACCACACCAGGACTCCTCATTAAGACATACGAGGGTCTTATTGACTTCCTTCCATATTAAACACACAGTGTTTTCATGGAGATACTACATGTCCTCTGGTAAGTCTCTGACAGCTGCAGACATCCACACCTAGCACTTTGCTGCTCTCCCACTTTCAGCCATGCATTTGCCAAAATAAGACCAAGAAATAGTTTGTACCTTTTTCTTCAGCTGTTATTTCTAAGTTCCAACACCTCCTGATCAAAAAATAGAAAAACTATAAAGGATGACTATTTTATGGAGATGACACAGCAGCATTTACAAAAGAGTTGGTGTTTACAGATGGAACACCTTATGGCCTCTTAGTGACTTTGACCCAGGTTTAATGCCAAGTTCTAGCAACCATTTTTTATTTGTATGCTATGCCCTTACCTTCTAATCCCTATGGAAAATTCTATATCTCTTGCCCTTTTGAGACTGCAATACATGCAATAAGGAGATCATACATATATTTGTAAATCTTGACTCCTCTGCTTACTAACTGACAAAATGAATAAGCTTCATTACATCTCAGAGCCTCAGCTTCTTCATTTGTAAAATGGAGATCATCAAAGTACCAACCTCAGCAATAGAAGCCAATGGGTAAAATGCCAGACACAAATGAAGTATCTTTCCTTCATTGCTGTGACTTCTATATTCTCCCCATCATTTTCTTCTTCCCATTATTCAAGCTTTTTTCTTCTTGAGCATGAAGACAAAAATCAGTTTAAGTTAAAGTCACAACTATTATTAATACCAATCTGTATAGCTTTCCTTCAAGCTTCCTGGGTGTTACATAGTTCCTGAGAGTTATAGGCTCTTTAGGATTAGAATGGGCCTTGAAATTAGGGGCCTTGATGCAGTTGGTATCTGCCAAAGTTAGAATATAAACAAGAAAACAATGAATGAACAACTAGAGAATTGTCTAGCAAAGTTAATCAAGCTAAGCTACTTTGCCCTAGTTTTCTAAATCACAGATTATACACAGTGACACCAATCATCTTATATAAAGTTTCAAATCAAATCATCTGCAAGGCTGCTAGACAGTGATGGCTATGGTGTAGGACATGTTATATAATGATCACACTTGAGAAAGTACGACCCTGCTCTCCACTCCAGCTTCCCAGTCTCTAGGGAATCACATCTCTACTCCACAGTTTTGCCTACACATTGCTTAACTTTGCAAAATCAGTTGTCATTATCAAACCCAACTATAACTTTTTGACCTTTTTCTGGTGCCATGACTGTTAAAAGAGTCACACTTGGCACTGATGAACAGTAAATGTGTTTCAAGGGCCATGACAATGTAAACAGTGAGATTATTGCCCCTTATGCTCAGGAGAAATTAATCTCATAATTCATGTTATACTCTTTCTATACAGATCAGCAGATAACAGCCCTAAATTACCATTTCACCACCAAAGGATAGTCAGCCTAATGAGTTTGCAGCAAAAAGTACCGATCCCAGAGTCACTTCACCAATTGGGTAAAATAAATGATTGAAACATTAGCTACCTAAAACCAATTTGAGGAGTCCAAGAGGTGCAGTGGGTAAGCATTCAGCTACTAACCACACCTTTGGTGGTTCAAACCCACCAGCTGCTTGGCAGGAAAAAGATGTGGTAGTTTCCTTTTGTGACGATTTACAGCCTTGGAAACCCCATGGGATAGTTCTCCTCTGTCCTACAGGGTCATGGTGAGTCATCAGCGACTTAGTGGCAATGGGTTAAAGTCAGTTGACTTTCTCCAGGATTATTTGTGGACTGAGGCCCACATTTTTGCCACATTGTCTTCCTTAGTTCTCTTTTCTAAGTTTTCAGGAAACCTTAACCAGTAATTATTTGGAGGCACTCTTCAATTTCTGATTCTATTAAATTGACCCACAGAATTTTCCAATGAAATAGCCTAGAGTAAACTCCTTAGCAATCCTGTACTGCATGCTGATAAAGTTTTTATATCATAAATAAAACCAGCAGACATTTCTAAACAGTGTACTTCTTTGGGAAATAAAGTAGCGGATGAAGTAAAAAGTACAGAAATTCTGACTATGCACAACAAACTACTGGATGGACCCTTTCCATGAACTAAACAGTTTCATTGTAAGTAGTAATGCTTGCTATAAAGGCCACTGTGCTCAATTTCCCAGTGTCAGACAGAGAGTCGTCTCATAGGTCATTGTCCTAATGAACTGCAGATAGCTAACTGCTAGTCATTATGTAGAGGTATGATGACTATGTGATGGCACTAGAAAGATAACCCTACCATTGAAATATGGCTGAAGAATTTTTATGAGAAGGGATTTGGGGAATGGTTTAAGAAAAGAGAGCCAGGAAAATTAACCCTGAACGATATCTGTTTCCTGTGTTACAGAACAGGGCTTGGAGCTATGGCGTATGACTGGTAGTCCATTGTAATTTTCCTTTTTTCTCTTCTCAGGAGGGCAAGAAGACCTCATTCTTTCCTATGAACCAGTCACAAGGCAGGAAAGTAAGTTTCCCACCATGCTCTGATTTCTGGTTTCCAAATCATAATAGGTGACATCATTGAAAGAGAGAAAGAACAAAGGACTAACAGAAATCAACCCTGCTTAATACGCTGTTGTCCCCAGGCTAGACCCTGCTCTCTCCCATTGGTGGTCCCATCACGAAACAAACAATTTCCAGCCTGAAAGTGGGCAGTGACAACTCCCAAGAAGATATAGCAGCCCTGTAAATGAGTGTTCCTTAATGAGAAAGAGACAATCCGAATAACCTAGGGAGCTCTCACTACAGGACCAACGATAGCAGCCACAGGAGACTGAATTCAGCTCAGTGATCAGAAAGCATTCCAAGCAAACCTGTCCTAGGATGCAGACCAGGAACCTGCAATAGGAACCTGCATTCCTTTCCCTTTACAGAGAGGCCAATGACTTTTGATGAGGGTATTGCAGAAGGAATTCAAGCATCAGATGAGTCGCGGTGCCACATGAACTTTAGAGTTTTCTACTAATCTACAAAGGAATTGGGGAAAAAAAACAGCAGAGCATGGAGAATATTTTGAGCTGAGCAAAAGAAATTGCAAAAACATATAAAGTGTCATAACTACTAATAATTACTTATAAAGTCATTGTATAAACAATGGTCAAACAGCTGGTTTGAAGTCTTTTTCTCCCACTCAGTTGACTAAATTCAGTAGTTGTTTTGACACTGTATGAGTTTAACCTTAGAGTAATCAAAACCTCTCCCGATGCTTCTTTATTGTTGACAGGCACTGCAGTTGCTTGTCCGTGTCGTTGTTAAGTGCTGCCAAGTTGATTCTGACTCATAGCAACCTGCATAGGATTTCCAAGAAGTGGCTGGTGAGCTTGAACTGCCGACTTTGCAGTTCAAACTGACTTTACAGTCCAGCACATTAACCCACACCAGGACTCCTGTCCCTGTTAGTAAAGTCAAGTCGGCACAACCAAACAACAAACATCAATTCCCCTCTGTAAGGCTGTATAGAGAATGTATCCAATGAAATAATGCCCTCAGCAATTCACTGGACTACTTTGCTATAGTTTTCAAGTCTTTATCCTCATCTGGATATTTATTTCCCTCTCTGCAGTAAACTATACCCGGCCTGTGATTATCTTGGGCCCCATGAAGGATCGGATCAACGATGACTTGATATCTGAATTCCCTGACAAATTTGGATCCTGTGTGCCTCGTAAGTATTAGTTCTCTTTCCTTTAGAGAAAGCAAAAAAACAAAACCCTAACTCCTTTCTGTGATGATAAAATGCAATTCTGTTCCTTTTGGTCAAACACCACTATGACTTTTTATTTCATATTCTCTGCCTAGCACTTTTCTTCTATGTTAACCATGCATTGTTCTCTGCTTAGCGAGTGCACATTGTTCTCTCCAACCTGACTTCAATATCCTTGGGGACAGACATGGATCCTCTTCCTTTGTGGCCCCACAGTTTTTAAAACAACATTGGCTTGATGGTGGGCATCAGCATGTTCTGAGGGATTAACTGAAATGCCCCTGAAGCACTTTCTTTCATAGAATGGAAGAGATCAGACACAAAGTCATATGTTAAAATCATTTTAGGACTATTAAGGAACATGTGTCAATCCAAAACCTAGCAGTCCTTCCCATATGTTTTAAAAGTCTCAGCTGTTGGGATGATAAAACAAGAAGGTTTATAAATGTGTTCTCTGGGCCATCACTGACTTTAACATGTCCTTTTGGTCATATAGACAATCATCTGGTTTCCTGGTTTCCTTGACTGTCGGACTGTAAGATTTTATCTGTTCTACCTCTTCTCTTCCACTGTACCAAATGGTATACCACCAAGCCACAGCTATTTTCACCCCGACTGTGTTACAGAGAAATTCATGGACGCCTCCCACTCTGTGTTAGGCAAGCCTTCTGTTGTTGTTGTTAAGGACTTTCAAATTGGTTCTGACTCATCACAACCCCATACAGGTTTTCCAAGGAGCAGCTGCTGGGTTTGAACAACCAAACTTGCTGTTAGCAGTCCAGTACTTATCCTACAGTACCACACCAGAATCCCTTCTAGGAAATATTAATTCATTAGATAATTGAGCTCTTAAATCTGATCCCAACAAATATGTATCTCTCTCTGTACATTTTTAAGCTTTATGCTTTCAAATGTCTCTCACATTTTGGTATTTTATAAATCACCTGGAATACATAAGAATAGTGAGAGTTTCATGTGTGTAGGACATGAACAAAATGGAATTAGGATGATTGCTCTAGTTCATGATACTGTTGACAGCAAGGGCTTTCAGAAGAGGAACTGCTGTAGAACAGATCTGAGAAGGTCTTCAGTATATTCAACCCTGGGTTAGTTAGAGCAGTTTCCAATTTGTTCTGCTTTTGAAAAAGTACAGCTCTTTCCATTTTCCATTACACACTCTTGTCTTTTTTAAATGGCACTATGTTATTGTGATCAATACATGTCTATTGTTCAGTGCTTGAAAAATCCAAAAAAGAAAGTCAATGACATTGTTAATATTTTGGTCGATTTTCATTGATTCTTTGTTTTTGTGTTCCATGTGATTGGATATATATACAATGTTGTTGTTAACTGCCGTCGAGTCGGTTCTGACCTATAGCACCCTGTATGGGGTTTCCGAGGAGTGACTCGTGAGCTTGAACCACCGACTTTGTAGTTCAAACAGCTTTGCAGTCTAGTGCATTAACCCACAGCACCACACAGATATACAATATTGTTGTTGTTGCTGTTAAGTACCATGGAGTTGGTTCTAACTCATGGTGACCCTGTATTGGGTTTCTAGGGAGTGCCTTATGGGTTTGAACTTCTGACTTTGTGGTTCACAGTTTAGGGCTGATCCTACAGTGCCACATCAGGAGTCCATATACAATAGTAGATGTATATAT